TACCCCGGGGCCAAGGCACACTGGTCTGTTTACCATAAGAGCGGAGAGACGTTGTTCCAAACACAAATTTTATTAAATCTAAAACCATAAAAAGATTAGTCAATCAGAACACCATAGGCCTAAAGTACAACCCAGATACCAGCAGCCACTTCTTGCCGGTCTAAGACTGGGCTCTGGAACCTAAGACAGCACAGAGGAACCCAAAGGATTCATGCAGTCACATGGGTGAAAAATAACTACAAACCACAAATGTAATCAACACACAAAACCCAAAAAAGGAAAAACTGCAAATAAACAACTAAAATACATGGCAACATGACCTACAACAAAACAATTCACATTAATGGACACAGTAAAAATGCATATTGCCCATCCAAAACATAAAACAAAATATACCCCACAAAAGTAAGACAGAGGGTCTGGTGGTTGAGTCATGGCAACTGGACTTCTCTCTGAAAGGTAGAAACGTTTCACTGTCCTGAACCAACGTTTCACTGCTCATCCAAGCAGCTTCATCAGTCGAACTGAAGAAGCTGCTTGGATGAGCAGTGAAAAGTTTCTACCTTTCAGAGAGCAGTCCAGTTGCCATGACTCAACCACCAGACAGTTTCTCCTGGATGTCTGAGAATCTTCACAGACACAAGACAGAGGGGTTCACAGGAAACCACATGCTCATCGAGTTGAGCCATGTGGCTGACAGGGAGCAGGGGAAAACACAAAGACTGACAACACAATACATCACAGGCAATGTTCTCTCTTGCTTGGCAACAGGGGAAGAATTCTTTGTTGTGGCCCATCCAAACCCTGACACTGAAATTTGACTCATTTATGACACTCTCTCATCCAGCCTGTGTTCTATGTTCTAGTCATTCATGGACTTCTTCCATGTTTAGAAACATGTGAACAGTTTTCAGTCATTGTATTTAAATGATTACTGCTGTGTGCCAGTTGTATTTAATTTTTGTGGCTTGTACTTTTATTTTGCATCAAAGTTCACCATGATGAAAATGTGTTTTGATGAATGAGAATGTTTTTGAGTTTTGCAAAAAGGGTGACAGATCTACAAATTATTTCTAGCTCTGTGGAAATTTTGAAATTTGAAATTTCATTTTGACAATTTTGTCAAATGAGTGATTGATTCAATAAATGAATTTTGGTAACTGACAGTCTCGTTTAAAGATTGTCTGGTGTCTTAGCAATTCAGAAAAACTATATTTAAAATCTTAATTTCCTCCTCAGCCACAGATATAAACAATGCAGTGCTGGAAGGAGTGAGGATGCTGAACAACCTGGCTGAGAGCCAAAATACCAAAGACAGCATCTCCATTCTCATTCTTCTCACAGACGGAGACCCCACTTCAGGTACATCAAATTATTTCATGTAGACCATTTTTTTGCATATGCATGCAGTTTTCTTAGGAAATTAAAGGTGGCTTCTAGGAGACTGACATTCATAATAATTTGTCATCTCTTCACTGACATACACGAGTACTGACTCACTGCTATGCAATTAGAGTGTGAAGGTTCCCTGTGTTACTGCACTGTCTCACAGCATATAGCAGTAGTCAGAAGGAACTCACAGTCGGGAGGCTGTCAGGGGAATATCTATCTTCTAATATTCATCTTTTGACCACTAATCCTTGTCAGGGTCACTAGGGGGATCTAGAGACTATCTTAGGCAGTACAAGACACAAGGCTGGCATACAGCCTGAAAGGTATGCCAGGAATTGTGTATTATTTTGATTATACAATTAGGCTAAATGCAACACCATAACCATTTAGTTGAGGCAAAGTTCATGTGTAGCTTGAACGCTGTAAGGGAAGATATATTTATGATTACATGTAAAGTCTTGTGAAATTCAGAGGTATGAAGCCAAAAACAAGTTTCTCTTCCCCATAGGTGTAACTAATCTAGACAGTATTCAGGCCAATGTTAAGGAAGCCATAGGGAAGAGGTACTCCCTTTACTGTCTGGGATTTGGCTTTGATGTAAATTATGAGTTTCTGGAGAAGATGGCACTGCAGAACCTTGGTGTGGCCCGAAGAATCTATCCCGACTCAGATGCCGATCTACAGTTGCAGGTATTATCTTTGGGAATACCTGACTACGCGGAGGAGTCCATGAGCACAGATGTCTGAGTATTGTCTTTCTTTGATTCTTAAGGGCTTTTATGAGGAAGTAGCTACACCTCTACTGTTGGATGTCCAACTGAGCTACACAGGTGTGTCCAACCTTACACAGTCCAACTTCAGTCAGTACTACAATGGCACAGAGATTGTAGTTGCTGGACAAATCTCTGACAACGACTTGGAAACCCTCACAGGAACAATCACGGCTCGTTCGGTGAGAACACTCCTATTTATACAATATTTATTCATCCTGAATATAATCTTCTAGAAATGTAGCAAAATGTCAACTTTTTCATACAATCTTCAATACAACATTTCCTCTACCAATCACAAATTTGTTTGATGCTAAGTATGTATACAAACTAATTAACATGATACAAAAATAATTAGCCCTACTTCAATGCAATAAAGTACATTTAGTGCTCATTGTAGATGTTTTTAGTGCAGTTGTAACCTGCAGGTTGTGCTTACAGAAAAACAATGAAGTAACATACCAAGACATGTCAGTTAAGGAGGAGAACCTCTTGGACATCTACATCTTTGAGATGTATATCCAGAGGCTCTGGGCATATCTTACAGTAAAGCAACTACTAGAGAAGGAGTATGTATACTGTGTTTGAGTGCTTCTTCCTTCTTTTGTGTGATGTGTAGGTATGCTGTGTTTCAGTCCTTGTCCCTTTCTTTGTGTGATGTATAAATATACTGTGTTTGAGTACTTGTTCCTTTGTGTGATGTGTAAGTATGCTGTTTGAGTGCCAGTCCCTTTCTTTGTATGGTGTGTAAGTATGCTGTGCTTGAGTGCTTGTCCCTTTCTTTGTGTGATATTTATGTGCATGCACATTTCTCATTTCTCCTGTGCTTATGTGTCTGTTCCACAGGGTTTTGTTGGGACAGAGTGAGAAGCAGGCACTCAGAAAGCAGGCCCTCGATCTCTCTGTTAAGTATAGCTTTGTGACCCCACTGACCTCAATGGTAGTTACTAAGCCAGAGGGTGAAGACTCCCAGGTGCTCCACAAACCCAAGGAGGGAAAGCCTGAGCACAGAGGTAAGTTTGGCGCTGCAACACTATCCACTTAACCAGTCATTCCTCTTACAAGAAGGAAGTTTAATAAATAAATACATCCAGAGCATGAAAAGATAAGAATGATTATTGGTATACAGTATAATGCAAACTTTGGATTCTATAAAGGAAGTGACACCTGGACAAGAGTAGGGCTATCTGCAAGATTGTCTGTGGTAAAATATCGTTGTAATACCACTAATGTTCATGCACATCTTTCCTGACATCCTGACCACAAACCCGGAGCTCCGTATTCAAGGCAACAATCCTTGATACTGTAAACAATAGCTTTTTACCGGAGGTGTAACAGTACACAAAATTAACTGTACACACCTTAGTTTTGGGGTCACAGTCCCTTGTAATCTCAATACAGCAAGGAAATAGAATTATTAAAACTGAATAACAAACCTCTCCTGGAGCCGACACCTTATCGTGGTGGAGGGGGTTGCGTGTTCCAATGATCCCAGGAGCTAAGTTGCCCGGGGCTTTATGCCCCTGGTAGGGTCACCCAAGGCAAACAGGTCCTGGGTGAGGAACCAGAC